TATCGAATCTATTATTCTTCATTTAATTGTCAATCCATACATGTGAGACCAACTCATATGCATCTTACTAATCATGTCGATTTCTCCCTTTTCATTTATATTTTCCATTTTGATCAATTATGCCATTCCATTCGCACATCATGATATAAACAATCCTCAAATGAAAAACTAATTAATATGCATCATCAATCCATGTCTTCTTTTGTTATTTCAAATCTTGCTTGCCATTTCTTCGCTTATGCATTCTTGATTTAACTTTAACTATACCAATCAACCATAAACCATCAAGCATACCAAGCAAGACACTATTGAGATCAAACCATATCCAATATTCTTTGTCTCTTTTTGCCTTATCAAATATGCTTGTTTTTTCTTCGTTTGAGATATTACATGAGTTTGATATAATCATTTGCAATGAAATCTATCTAAAACTCATCAAACGCGTTAGTCCTGTAATTGTTTTGTCATTCAATCACCAAAAACCACTAGGGGAGGGGGTCCTAGATACACTTTCACTTATGCTATGACATATGCATGTTATTGAACTTGAGAATTGATGTACGCTATGCATTGTATTTATCTTTTTTTTTTGCTTGACATTTGCATAGAACAAGTTACTAGTTGCTAATTTATGCATTGGTTGTAGTTGTTAGCGAGCTGGCTCACCATCCAAGCTAAGACAGCTCGTTAATTTAACAAGCTATAACAAATATATTGGACCAAATTATTGAACCGAGCTAACTTATTATCCAGCCCTTTTCAATTCAAACTCTTCATTAAAGCGCCCACTCGCCATCTCCTTATCCACCAGGAGGGACTGAGAGATAATTTGATGATGCATGTCTTGATCGAGGTGGACTGCTATAAAATTTCTTATATTTATATAAATGTTGGCTCTATAACCCCTATTGCCGCCCATTTCAGTCCTTGCTAGTGAAAGTTGGTGACGATTCGTTATAAGAACCGGCAGTGATAATAAAAAAACAAAAAAAAGGCAGCAAGCAAGTCCATCAAGCTCATCGGGCCCACCATCGAAGCAATCGTCGTCCAGTCGAGGGCAACCAAGCCAAGGGCGATGCCACCTTTGCCGCCCCATCCGCCGTGCTTGGGACACTTGTGCTTCGTCGCGTCTAGACCGCCTCTCATGCCTAGTCCACGCTCGGCCCACGCCATTGATGCCCATGCTCCGCGTGCGGCCGAGACCGTTGTCATAATTGGCCCTTAGTGCGCTCTCTCTCTCTCTCTCTCTATATATATATATATATATATATATATATATATATATATATATATATATATATCTTGGTGAGATGGAGACTCATGAGGAGATATAGACTAAGGGACTCTCATGAGTCTCCATCTCACCAAGATAGATAGAGAGAGAGAGTGAGACGTGGATGAGAAGAGGCCACACGAGCCCCCACAATATTACTCGCCAAGGTTCATATCATGAATTGATGGTAAAAATTATTTTCACTAACGGTTTCAGCAGCACCAACAATTTGAATAAAACTAACGGTAAAAATACCGTCAGTGAAAACCATTTCTGTAGTAGTCAAGGAGTATTGTTTTGGGTTGCGTGCAGTCAACCATTTTTCCCAGATGTCCCCAAAGACATGTGGTCAGCTATTTTAAGCTTGACTACAAATTACATCTTTATGAGTTTAGATATTTTCAAATATATGAGTAGATTTATCTTTAGTTAGTTGTTTCGCGATTATATATATAGTTGGTACATTTTACAAATATACGTTATAATAACAAAAAATTTATTAGTCTGCCAAAGTTGTACTTAATTTAGGGATCATGCACATGTCGACATCCAAAATGTGACTGGAGGGACTATTTTCCTTGAAAGAAAAGGTGGAACAGAACACATTAAATAGCAAAACCGTTGCAAAGAAATTAAAGCCCACTGCACATAGTGGCTGAAACTCCGTGAGCTGTAAGATGTTGCAAGGCGTGTACCAAGTCGTCTGCTTCGACGACCATACAACTAATTTACCCATTCTTAATTAATCAGCGATATATGATCGATCGACAGCGGCATGTACAATCGGTCAACCACATCATCAAACCTGACTAGATTAAATTCTGTGTTACCTGCTAGTGTATCTTCTTGTGTATATATTTGTATCAATCCAGCTAGCGCGCACGCTGAAAATGCATATAGATCCTGAACCGGCCAACTTGCTGCTGAGCTATCTGCTTTATGACTTGTCATTTGTCAACTAGCTCTGAAGAATTATGTGAAGATGCATAGATCCACGCATATTTGTTGAAACAACACTTGGTATTATGCATGCTAAAATCCAATGCTGTGAGCTGACTAAAAAAAAGCTAGCTAGCTAGCAACATGTGGGAGAATATATAACATATATATTGTATGTCCTATTGGATGGATCATTGACCATATTTAAGTAAGGTCAGTGAGCATGATCATTACTAGTTAATATTTTGATGTGTCTACTAATTTATTTGTAAACTAATTAACCATGTGTGTCTACATACATATCCATTTCACAAAAAAAGATAGGCTTGCTTAGCTAGATGATAAAGATGCCAAACTGGGACCATTTGTACGTCAAAAACAAAAGGCTAGACACCAACACCATGTTCGCTTGTTGGTTTCAGCCAGCCCAAACCAAATAAATACAACAGTGTTTTCTTCTCACAATAAACCAGCACCAGCCAGCCTAAACTAGTCCAGAAACCAACCAGCGAACAGGCCGCAAAGCCATCTTTCTGATCTCTCTTCACTCCCAACATACTTCGTATGCATTGATTTTGACCTATCCGCGTATCATAGCCCGTACTCAGTCAACTGCTTGTATTGCACTGAGAGATCACAAAAAACCGGTAGTGATAGTGTCGTACTCACTGTCAGGTCATTGGCTTCAAACCGGCAGTGACCTTTATTTTTTCAATTTTATATACTTTATTTTTACATTTAAATAGAGGTCATCATCTAATATTTTGCATTTGATATTATTAATACATATCTCACTTCTATCACATATCTCACCGTTTCGATAATGACCACATCATAATTAGAAAACCATACATAATAGGCAGAGGAGTCAATACAAATTGAATGTCATAATGTACAAACCAAAATCCATATAGACATAATTATATAGCTGATAGTCTCATTAATACAAACCAGGTGGACCACTCCCACTATGATTGGTTATTACACTGTATGAGATAGTCCATGTAGTGAATATCTCCGATTGTGTAACTGAGCACATTATTTAAATAAATTAATACACACATTAGTGCACTCTCTCTTGGTTCACAGGACCGAGCACTTGGACTACCAAAGATGTAACATATGGGTTTGAAGAATAATGATTTCAATTCCAAAGCAGTATACAAATGACTCGGCCATCCCTATGCAGTGTGCATTGCATCTGCATATATAGTACCAGACAGTGGCTTGTTGCATAATTGATTGGAAGCTAAAAGCAGCATAGGCGGGCCTCCTAAGTAGCCGCCTCTTAAAATGAAGAGGCACGCGTCTACTAATCATTTTTCAGTAGATTCTTTAGTGTCCCTGTAAATGGGTTGAGCATCTCTGAAAATGACATAGTATTTTTGGAGACAGGAGACTTCAGACCACCTTTGTAAATAAAAGGAATTATCTTATAAAATCGTTTTTGTAGTAGTGAGGCATCCCACCCCCACAAAGTCTAGTTCACTTGTTTTATAGTTGGTCTATACATGGGGCTCAAAATCTTGCTTCTTTGTTATTGACAGGAGTGTCAGGACTTTGTTTGACAATTTGGCTCATAAAAGAGTGATTTTGTATTTTATAATGGCTACATAATTTTTTTTAGATTCTATTCAAGGAACCGCACTAATTTTGGTTTTGGCACTGATGACAGCAAGAAATTAAATGGTTAATGTGTGCCAACTTATAGAGTCAAGAGTTGTGCAACTCTTTGTGTTATATTGATGGTCATTTAGGTTGCGCATTGGTCAATAGTGTCAAGCAACTTTTTTGTTTTGAAGAAGAGTTGATTTCATAATAATCATGATCTAAATCCTCTTCTTGCCTTCTTGGAAGAAGTTTGAAGATCAGCAGTTTTATTGTCTAAAAAAGAAAAGGTTAACGGTTGGTAACATTAGAGCTGTAGTCTCATGGAAAAAACAACAAAAGCAAAGAGGGGCATTAGTTTCGGGTAATTGAATCAAAGCCATGAATACGTGTACACAGTGAATATTGAGGTCAATCTCTTGGAGTCAAAAGCACTGTTTTGACGCAGCGATTGATGCATATCCATTGTCTAGAGAGTCCTGAAAATTCTACCACGCCGTCACGATCACCATTTACCATCACGAAGACCTGCACCTGCAGTTGCAGGAGCATAAACGCCAAACATGACTCGTAGCTAGCAGCACTAATCTAGATAGTTCCAGGCTTTCTTTTACTTTTCCTCCCAAATGCTAGAGCAACATCAGAAGCCAAGTATGTACATAAACAAATTTGAAAAAAATCTCAGCTCTCTCAAATAAAAAAATGAAATATATAATGAAAATAAAAAGGCAAAGGATAATTACACGAGTAATATCAGTGAGACCATGTATGCATGGCCACTGGGTTGCACCATGCCACCATCACATCACCTGCACTTTGAGCTGACCCACACCAACACAAGCCCATGAGGTCTACACATACACCCATGCATGAGTCCATAACACACATATTATACTAACTAATAATCAGTCCATCAAAAAATTATCATGTTCTACATAAAAAAGCCATATATTGTTATTTAATAAAACACAACAAAAAAAGAACATATGCCCATGTATACTTTAGTATATATGGAGTGATGAGAAGTGTTGTTGGTTTAGTGTTAGTGTTATGCCACACCTGACCTTCCCCCACTATATATCACACGCACACACCCTTCACTTGTCCTCCCCCCACCATTTCCGCTCTGAATCTTCCCCAAAGCATCTCCCTTTCGCGTGGTGGGTGTAGTAGTGATCGGATGGACAGCACGAGCTGCCTGGTGGACGACGCGAGCAGCGGCGCGTCCACGGGCAAGAAGCCGGCGCCGGCTCCGGCTGCGGGGACCGGCGGCAAGCCGCTACAGCGCGTGGGCAGCGGTGCCAGCGCGGTGATGGACGCGGCGGAGCCGGGCGCGGAGGCAGACTCGGGCTTGGGCGGCGCGGGGCGCGCCGCCGCCAGCGGAACGGGAAGCTGCCGTCGTCCAAGTACAAGGGCGTGGTGCCGCAGCCCAACGGGCGGTGGGGCGCGCAGATCTACGAGCGGCACCAGCGCGTGTGGCTGGGCACGTTCACGGGCGAGGCCGAGGCCGCGCGCGCCTACGACGTGGCCGCGCAGCGGTTCCGTGGGCGCGACGCCGTCACCAACTTCCGCCCACTCGCCGAGTCGGACCCGGAGGCCGCCGTCGAGCTCCGGTTCCTCGCGTCCCGGTCCAGGACCGAGGTCGTCGACATGCTCCGCAAGCACACCTACGGCGGGGAGCTCGCGCAGAACAGGCGCGCCTTCGCCGCCGCGTCCCCGGGGGCGGCCTCGCCGCCGCCCAAGAACAACAACCCCGCCGCCTCGTCGTCGCCCGCGGCGACCGCGGCGCGCGAGCACCTCTTCGACAAGACGGTGACGCCGAGCGACGTGGGGAAGCTGAACCGGCTGGTGATACCGAAGCAGCACGCGGAGAAGCACTTCCCGCTGCAGCTCCCGGTCCCGGCCGCGGCGGCGACGGTCAGCGGCGGCAAGTGCATGGGCGTGCTCCTCAACTTCGAGGACGCCGCCGGGAAGGTGTGGAGGTTCCGGTACTCGTACTGGAACAGCAGCCAGAGCTACGTGCTGACCAAGGGGTGGAGCCGGTTCGTCAAGGAGAAGGGGCTCCACGCCGGGGACGCGGTCGGGTTCTACCGCTCCTCCGGCAAGCAGCAGCTCTTCATCGACTGCAAGCTCCGGCCCAAGACTAAGACGGCAGCAGCCTTCGTCAACGCGACGACCACGGCCACCACACCGCCCCCCGCCGCGGTGAAGACGGTGAGGCTTTTCGGCGTGGACTTGCTCACGACGACACCGAGGCCAGCGGTCGTGGCGGCGCCGCCGGAGCAGGAGGAGATGGTAGCCGTGGCGAACAAGAGAGCTAGGGACGCCATCTCCGCGTCTACTCCAGTGCACATGGTTTTCAAGAAGCAATGCATAGACTTCGCGCTGACCTAGCTAGCTAACGTTTTTGCTCTCCAACCCCCTTGCTTGCTTCGCTCTCTGATGATGCATGGTGGTGGTAGCTAGCTAGCTTGGAGCTCTTGCATGCTTAAACCTTCATCTGATCTCATCCTTGGATTGTTCATTTCATTTTGTTTCTTCTTATCTTTGTATTACCTGTCCTAATCTCTCGCATAACTCTACCTGCCGTAAATTAATTAGCTAGACAGCATGTGTTTTTGGTGGCAAGTGTATACTAATTAATGAAGAAAAGCCATGGATCGGAGATTATTACATGCATGCCATAAGAAGCAGTGTTTGGAACTCATCTCTCTTCCTCTTCAAGAGCTTCTCGTTCTAGCTATGTGCTTTTTGTATATATATGTAGATTGATTGAAGAAAAGGCTGTGGATGGATGTAATAATATGCTGCTGCTGCTGCTACGACTCAGCTCCTACATAGGATATATATGTGCTGCAAATTTGACTCCCTTGTTGTGGCGCTTTCATGTGGTTAAGATGTGATGGGTGTGTGCTGCACCTGCACCCAGATGCATTGCATGTATCACCTGAAGGTGCAAAAGGCTCCTGGAGTTATCTGATCCCAAATCCCAGCGCCGAAAAGGAAACGGAGAGGAGGGAGGGAGGTGCCCCATAATTGCATGTATGCATGCACCTGATGATATATCTCCACAGTGTGATGTGATACGATCGATCGACACATAAGTATGTCCGGAAAATATATAAAGTGGAATGAATGACATATACTCCGTACGTTATTTCACAGGGGAGACGATCTATAGCTAGCTAGCTAGCCAGATAAAGGTCACCAATAATACCAACAGAGAAGAATCATATCTCTGGGAACGTACAAACAATAACAAGTTGTTTTGATTGTAGTGTCATGTCACCAATAATACCAATATGGCCTGCTTGCATGCGTCGTCATTTTCAGCAAGTTCAAAAGTTCATGGTGGCCTAGCCTATATATATTCTCTACATATGTGTGCCCCTTGCTAATGGTCCTCTTCTTCAAGCTTTTTGCGGCGTGATCAGTGGTGCAATGTCGTTTGCGAATTTTCAGGTCATCGCCGGACAGTGTTAATAAGGTGATGAGCAGATAGATGTCTTCCTTGTGAATCTTGCTATCCTGAGACAACAACACTGGCAGTAGGCCGGCCGGGAAAGCAACGGAAAGTTTAGCTGTTTGGAGACTTTGATCGATAGGATTGAAAGAACATGGGATGGAGAAAACGTACAGTGCGCGTGGCATCTGGGAAGGAAAGCACTCCGGTTTCTAGAGAATGCAGGTTGATAGCAGTGTAAGCAATAGTATTATTTGTCGTTTTACTTTCTTCTTCTTCTTTTTAAAAAAATTCTAGTTGAAAACAAAAAATGGTTCGGTCATGCATCTAAATATATCTATCTTATCTTATTTAATTTATATAGACAGATGCGAGGTAAATTCCAGTGGGAAGAGACACGACGATCGAGCAACGTTCAACGGTTTTAGACCGGCCGGATAGAGACGAGGTAAATTCCAACACTGCTAGCTTCGTTCACCGACTGCTCCGACCCTGATCGAAACAGATAAACTATGGCCGCCATCTGTGCAGGCAGCAGGCAGACGAGGCTACACGTCTCCTCGAGAAAAGACGGCCGGCCGCCGTACTGGCGTACTGCTGCTTCGTACGACGATACCATCCATCTGCATTGCATTGGATGCTCGACATGACGTGGTGCACCGTGCACGCGCTTAATTTTTACACGTCAAGATTATTCAACCAAAGATGGATGCTCCATTTATATTAGCTTGCTTTGATCTTAATATATAGTTGCCCTTGGAAATCTCCCTTCCCGAGAGTTAAACACACTACGTCATGTAGTATTTGCAGCGGCGGCTCCAGAGCCTTCGTAGAGACGGTTTATTCAATTGTTCCTATCTAAACTTTTCTATAAATCATGTATTTATAAAGAGCGATTCCCAAACCGTTCTTACAAATCGATTTGTAGAGATGGCTGGTGTTATCAGCCGCCCCTACAAATCAATTTCAAAAAATCACGAAAAAAGGGCAAAAAAAAAAGCAATTTTTTTAATCCAAAGAAGTCCCCACCAGCAGCCACACATCCACTCTATGGTTGCAATATTTTTTAACAATTTTTGCACACTTTGCGTCGACCGGGATTCAAACCCGCAACCTCTCCCTCACGCACAAACTCCTCTACCACTGCACCTCACGATCACTCGTATCTACAATCCATTTTAGTTCCCCACATATTATACAAAACTGAGCATAAATTGATTGTTTGAGGCCCAAAACTAATTCAAATGAAAAAGTTATCAACTACAAAGTTTTATAACTTTTTGAGATCTACAATTTTTATTTTTGGTAGTTTCTCCATCCGAGGTCACTTATAAAATTTGAATTTCAAATTTGAGAAACTCGAACGTAGTTTTCCATGACAAGATGATTTGAAATGAGAAAGTTATCAGCTACAAAGTTTCACAACTTTTCAAGATCTACAACTTTCATTTTTACTGTTTGTCCATCCGAGGTCGTTTAAAAAATTAAAATTTCAATTTTTTGGAAATTCAAACGTAGTTTTTCTTGATAAGATGATTTCAAATAAAAAAGTTGTCAACTACAAAGTTTCATAACTTTTTGAGATCTACAACTTTCATTTTTGTTGTTTTTCCATCCGAGATCGTTTACAAAATTTGAATTTTAGTGCTTAATTTTTAATACCCGGTGTCTATTTGTAGGGGCTGTTCAATATTGAGCCGCCCCTACAAATCTGATTTGTAGGGACGGCTGGATATAGAGCCGTCCCTATAAATTGGACTATTTGTAGGGATGGCTGATAACACCGACCGTTCCTATAAATCTATTTGTAAGGACGGCTCATTTGGCAACCATTTGTAGGGGCGGCTCAATATAGAGCCGCTCCTACAAAGAAAGGGAGGCGTTGCCACAAATCGTTTTTGTAGTAGTGACAATCCATTAAACTTATAAAAAATAGTATTAATATTTATATCTTTAAATATATTTTTGTCACAATTTTTTCATCATCAATCTAGGGACACTTATTATATATTATTATAATGTTATTATCTTTCTATATAGATTGGTAGCATACGGGGAAGCGATATTTTTTATTTTTCTTTTGGAACAAAGTTAGTATTACCCTTGTTAATAAGCAAGAAATAGTTCATGCATTCTGAGCAAACGTATACTACTCTCGCGACACCAATAGGGTCCCTTTGGATTGCGGGAATCTTTTTTGTTTCATGTGTTTTTATGTGAAAATAAACCGGTTCCTGTAAAATTCATGCATTTCAAAGAGGTCCTAAGTATATTCTTTTGAGATTCCTACACAGTCAACACAAGTTTAAACTTTGACATTATTATCTTTTTAGTTACTCTGATTGAACCTTTTACTAACGATATGGTTGCTGTAAAATTCCTGTAAAATTCATGCATTTCAAAGAGGCCCTAAGTATATTCTTTTGAGATTCGTACACAGTCAACACAAGTTTAAACTTTGACATCATTATCTTTTTAGTTACTCTGATTGAACCTTTTACTAACGATATGATTAGATTTGTCTTTAAAAATATTATAACTCCAAAAAAAATTCTATACATTTTATACTATTCGATTCGTCCATTAGCAAGAAGGTGACCCCTATAGTGTCCACGTATATTAAGATTTCTGAATATCCAGTCAAGAGCTTGGCAATCAAAAGTTGGCTCGGTTACTTTAATGATGGGTATAAAGATTTTTCCATCCTTGCTTAATTTTCCTAAGAATCCCAAAAGTCTTATATATGTGGATAGAGGGAGCTACTATCAATGGTCAAAGTAATGGCTAGCAACTTGACACCAATTATCGTATATGCAAACTACATAAAGCAAATTCACAATGGCTCTAAGTAGAACTAAGGTCTCATTGTTGTGCAAGTAACTAACCCCTAGATGCCTAAGCTAGCTAACAAGAAAATAAGCATAAGGCGCCGTTTGGGTCTCATTCTCACGGTGATTCTCTAGATAATGATGTAAACTCTGGATTTTAGATTAAAGATATTGTGAGGTTTCTTTGGATCTTATCCTCATAGTGATTATTGTCTTTGCATAGTGAAAATCTTTAAATGGCAGTGTTTGGGTAGATAGCTGCATTCTAGAATTAGCAATTATAGAATCCAAGTGTTTGTTGGACCCCATTGTCGTTTTTCTATGGAGATTCGAACAGGACTTAATTCACTTACTCCCTCCATCTCGGAATATAAGTATTTTTGAATTTGTCCTAAGCCAAATTATTCTAAGTTTGGCCAATATTATAAAAAAAGAATAATAATATTTACAACATCAAACACCCATGATTAGATCTATTATAATTTACATTTTTCATAGTTCACTATATGTGCTAGATGTCAGTAGTACTCTTATCTAGAAATCAGGTCAAACTCAGAATAATTTGAGTTGGGATAAACTCGGAAATCCTAATGTTTCACGACAAAAGGAGTATATATTTTAGTGTTGCAATTCCCTTGCACTGAAACATACTCCTAGAGTCTTGTATTCCCAGTTTGAGACTACTGACTATATCTGAATTCTGAATAGTAAGAATCAGGGAGTGAATTCTGAATACTAAGAATCACTGCACCAAAAAATCAAAGAGTTAATAATCTTTGTATCAATCTTTTCAGTTTATACCTACTGCACTGTTTTTTTAATTAATTAATTTCAGTAGGGGCCTATGCCCTTCCTGTTCCCCTAAAAAATAATTAGGGAGTGGATCTCTACCAAATAGGACCTAACTTACTCGATCAATCTCGAATTGTAAGTGTTTTTGAGTTTATCCCAAGCCAAATTATTCTAAATTGGGTCGATTTTTTTTGGACAGATCAGGTCAGATTGGTTGGGTCGTGTGTGGTCCATGATCAGGTTTACTCTCGTTCAACCAGAGTTATTATCGGCAGTCTTGTACTCCCAGTTTGACACTACCGCCTATATCT